ACCATTATTAGTAGTGTAATAAGTAGCAGTCACAGGACACCAGTTGCCTAAACATTATCAAGTGTTTTTTAGGCATCCTATCATAGGTGTGTCTTAAAAAGAGATGTAAAGAAAGCTCATTCACCTCCTCTACAGTGGCCTTGTGGATTTTGACATTGTAGAAGCAGTGGCATGGGAAAAACTGTAAAGGTGCTTATTGGAAAATTTGACAAATGTGCTGTCATAAATATAAAGGGAAGGGTAACCACCTTTCTGTCCACAGTGCTATAAAATCCCTCCTGGCCAGAGGCAAATCCCTTTCACCTGTAAAGGGTTAAGAAGTGAAGATAACCTCTCTGGCACCTGACCAAAATGACCAACAAGGAGACAAGATACTTTCAAAGCTGGAGGGGGAGGGGGGAACAAAGGGTCTGTCTGTCGGTGTGATGCTTTTGCCAGGAACAGATCAGGAATGCATCTCAGAACTCCTGTAAAAAGTTAGTAAGGAATCTAGCTAGAAATGCGTTAGATTTCCTTTTGTTTAATGGCTGGTAAAATAGCTGTGCTGAATGGAATGTATATTCCTGTTTTTGTGTCTTTTTGTAACTTAAGGTTTTGCCTAGAGGGATTCTCTATGTTTTGAATCTGATTATCCTGTAAGGTATTTACCATCCTGATTTTACAGAGGTGATTCTTTTACTTTTTCTTTAATTAAAGTCTTCTTTTAAGAACCTGATTGCTTTTTCATTGTTCTTAAGATCCCAGGGTTTGGGTCCGTGTTCACCTGTACAAATTGGTGAGGATTTTTACCAAGCCTTCCCCAGGAAAGAGGGTGTAGGGCTTGGGGGGATTTTTGGGGGAGGGGGAGACTTCTCCAAATGGGCTCTTTCCTTGTTCTTTGTTTAACATGCTTGGTGGTGGCAGCATAGGGTTCAAGGACAAGGCAAAATTTGTACCTTGAGGAAGTTTTTAACCTAAGCTGGTAAGAATAAGCTTAGGGGGTCTTTCATGCAAGTCCCCACATCTGTACCCTAGAGTTTAGAGTGGGGAAGGAACCTTGAAATGTGCTATCAAGGATGGCACTGCAGATATGATTGGCAGGTTGATAATATGTATGTGAGAGGCCATGAAGGGCCATAAAAGAGAAAACAAGTTAGTCTGTGCTTGTTCAAGGCAATCAATGTACTGCGGCAAAAACAACCACCAATGTCACAGTTCAGCAGGCTAACTAAGTAAGTAACTGGATGAAAAACTGTTTAGTTTTAAAATATGCACAGGAATTAGCAGCTCAAATACCAGGAGGGCAAAAGTTCCATCCAAAATGAACAAAAGCCTGACACTGAGATAACGGATGACAGAGATGCAAGCAATAAGGACCACACAGAGTGAACATAGAGGGCAGAAGGCAGAGATGAACCAGATCAGGGAACTACGTGCAAAGGCCTGGAATGTTAGAGACAGAATGTTACCCTGAATTCATAACTTAACCAGTGCAGATGACTAAATAAGAGAGTAACATGGAGGAGAGAAGAGAGGCAATGAAAAAAAAAATCAAATGAACCACATGATTCTGTATCTACAGCAAATGAGAAATCAATGAGACAGAAAGACCACTGAGAATTGAGTTACAGGTGAATCAAAGCAGGCACCATTTTAACTGTGAGAACTATATAACACAGTCAGGACTGCTTACTTGACCCGGGAGCTGGTCAAACCCTGGTGGTTCATTTTGAGGATTCAATTCTATATAACTAAAGCCTACCAGAAATATCCCTCCTCCTTTTCTACCCCTTTACTCCTTCCAGTCACAGGCACCCTTTACTTCACAATTTTGTCTTTGGTTGGTAGTGAGTGGTCCACCCTCTTCTGCATGCTGCCTAACAGTACCCCTCACTGGTGTGCTTGATGCACGCCTCCCACCTTTGTCATGTGGATCACTAGGTAGGGCCACTCTCCTGAAACATCATGGTCTTCAAGGAGGCCAAGAAGCTGACCTTAGCAACCACATAGGGCCTGCTACAGAGCTCATAGAAGTCAATGGAAAGGCTGCATATTGACTCCATAGATGCTGGATTAGGGTCATAGGCAAAAAGTGAGAGAAATAAGCTGTACAGGCAGGAGACCTCCATAAGTCTCTGGTATCTAGGTAGGGTAACACCTGGAAGAAGAGGTTGGGCTGTGTGGCTAGCATCAATCTATGTATATCGGACTCTTGTGGTCCTGGGCTGATGACTGAGGGCTTTGCTGTAAACCAGATGTATCCTAATTGAGAGGCTGGGTTCTGCTTCCTATACAAGTGCCCTTTAAATAGCCATGAATTTCAGAAATGTTTAACAAATGGAATCTGCAAGTCTTTACAGCTGAGTTGGTGTGTGGGTAAAAGCGCAGGTCAGAATCAGTGATACTCCCAAGAGTTGTGCTTTGGGGCTGGGGTTAAAACAAGAAGATTAACCGCAAAATAGAAAGACCCAACTATGGAAAACAGTAGTGGGGCCAGGAAAAAAAAAAAAAAAAGATTTCTTCCTTTGTCCTAGTTATTAAAAAATAGATCCCCAAGCTGCCATTAGGGACAGCTCATTTCTTTGTTGATCCTTTTTCTCTTTTCATCCTGACGTTCTGCCTTTTTAGAGGACTTGTTGCCAATTCTAGGTGGGAAGCATAGATACTCCTAATAGTGTGGAGCTACTTAAAACTATGCTTGGAAACATTCACAGGGAAAGTCTGGCTACACTATATATTTAATTGTTTTGGTATGGTGGGTTGGTCTCTGCAAGGGTTGGGGAGCGGGGTGGGTAGGGCGCTGCTAGAATGCAACAGCACTTGCATGCCACCCTGCCAACCCAGCTTAGAGGGAACACTGCAGGTACCTAGCAACAGGTCGGCACCAATGCCGCACCCGCTGGCCTCTCAGCAAGAGTGCTGTCACTGCATGTTGCCATGACAGCAAAAGTACAAGAACCACATCACGGCTGGGCAGCCTCACCGCAGAAGCACAGATTTAGAACTCCCAATATCTGTTGTACATCTATTTTTGCAGAAGTATAAATCCATAAATATGGCAAGAACCAAGCTAACAGCACAAGTGTCCAGTTCTACAGTGTGTTTCTGAGTGTGCTCCTAAAACACTGGAACTTACACAGGTCTCCACAGCTGCAGAAACAAGACAATGTATTGGATGATTTAGCCTGCCATGGAGCCACTGGGACAAATTCACGGGTGACTAACAGTCTGGAAGGAATTACAACCTCTTCCACCATGACCACCTCCAATGTGAAGGTCTCACCAACTGAGACTCCCATACACACAATCTACACAAGGATTTTTTCACAAAAAAATTCCCACTCTTGCTAGAACCATTTCAGCTCCACCAGGTCAGTAACAGTGGGAACCCTAGTGTAAATTACAGAAAACCTACCTGGTAAGCCTGGACCATGATATCCCCTAAACTCCCTTCCAGTACTCCTAGAGAATGCAAACCACCCAGAAGCCCACAGCCCTGACAACCCTCTGAACTAGCCAGCAGAGCTGGCCAGAAGCAGAGATTTGAGCATGCTGTCTCATCCTAGTTCCCCGGCTCATAATCCAGTCCCAAAGCTCCACTCCAGGTGGTGCAGCTTCATACTGCTCCCCAACATTACTCCACTATTGCAGTCACTGCTTCTTAGTACACACTACGTCTGTGCTTGACTAAAGTCATCTGATCCCAATTGTGTCACATAATATAGAATGTTTTGTGCTGTGAAACATATTGCTATAAAACATGCAAGCAGTGCAATTCAATCAAGTTAACCTGGCTGTTGGAATCTTAATTTTTGCATTTTCTGACACTCGGGAATTAGCTGTGCAACTGAGCATTGCATCAAGATTGATTTTTGTGTTTAATGACATATTTTGGCTTGGTGAGATGTTCTGATGAACTCGCTTTAATTGTGCTTGCCCTGGCCTTATGCTAGTATGTACTTCATTGCTTAATCCATGCCTGCTCCAATTTTCTCCACTGCAGGCTACAGCACTTTCCCCACTGCTTTAGTACTTATACCCTCTCCCCATTTAAATGGATTCCTCACTGTCTTACTGTAAACCCCAAAGCAACCCCCTTTTCTTTACTGAATCAATTATTTGAAAAATCTATTACTTTAAAAAAGAACGTAGGCAATAAAAAGAACATGGAGAGAGGGCAGACAGAACAGAGTAGGTGTAGAAGGGAAGACAATTATAGTTTTATTTGTGCATGCAGGGTGAGCTGGGGAAGGGAGGTGCTTTTCAGCATGGCTTGGTTCATCTATATCGTTATACCACCTCCTCTCTTAGCCAGCACACATGGTATGGGGAAACTGCAGTTTTTAAGGAACTTTATTTCTCTGACGTAGTAACTACGTTACATCATAGGAATGCCAATTTTGAGGACAAATGTTAGCTGGGGATTAATGACAAGCATTTCTTTACTTTGTTGAAACTGATGGTCAGCAAGGGATATTGCTTCCAGTAGAGAACTCCTGACTCACATGTCCTATGGGTAAAATATTAAAGACCCCAATATACCACATGGTTTTAGACAGTGCTACAGTAAAGTGATGATCCTGGATATCAGTAATATAAATATATTTAAATTGGTTAGATTCAACCCTGGGTTTATGCTGGCAGGAATACTATTCATCTTTAGAACACATAACAATTTATCAAGGGGACTATCCCCATTCTGTAGATGGAGTAACTGCTACACACACACACACAAATAGGGTAAAATTTTAGAAAGTGTCTAAATCCCATTTTCAAAAGTGACTTAGGCTCCTAGGTCTCTTAGACCTTTTGGAAAATATTATCCTTAGGTTCTGAACCAGCAAACATTTATGCACGTGCTTAACTTTAAGCATGTGAATAGACACATTGACAATCAGATCTCCCCTCACTCCTTTCTTTTTCCTATCTAATAATATGGCTATGGCTCCTTCTCATTGACATGCAATAACGTCCCCAGCTCCCTACTTACCCATAAGCCACTAATAGGCTTTGGCTCTTACCCGTCCTCCCTGCTAACCTTTTCCCTCTTCACTCCTCTGCTGTCCACATCCACCAACCTCTTAAGGAATCTCTTTTTAGGCTCAGGGTTTGTGGCAGCCTCTCTGCTGGTGAATCCAGATCTGGCAGGGTGTGGATTGTGTAGCCACATTTTGTGCTGTCTATTAGAATTTGTAAATGGAAAAACAAAGGAAAACCATTAAAAAAAAAAAAAGAAAGAAAAAAAAAAAAGAAAAGAACATGCCATGCTGTCAGTAGTCCTAATCTGTTTATATGGTGACTCTTTTTTCTATTTTAGGATATAATCTTTGGCATTTTTCACTCTTTATTTCAGCATTCCAATCTGTTTGGGATATTTGTCTCTATAAACCACAAACAGAAACAGAAAATGTTTTTTTTTTTTTGACTCCCACTACTAAAAAAACATAACTCACGAGTAAGGCTGCGAGTCTTTCACAGAGGTCCAGGAAGTCCTGGATTCTGTGACTTTCTGGGACCTTCGTGACTTCTGCAGCTGCACTGGCTGCTGCTGGGGTGGCCTCGAGGCCAGCTGCACTGGCTGCTGCTCAGGCAGCCCTGGGCAGCTGGCCCTGGGGCCACCCGAGCAGCAGCCAATGCAGCTGGCTTTGGGGGCTGCTGGAGCAGCATTTGTCCTGCCCCAGAGCACCAGTCCCGAAGCAGCAGTCCTAGGGGAAGCTCCAGAGCCCGTCAGAGCAGCAGGCGGCCAGGGACAGTGAGCCCCTAACGTCAGAGCAGGGGCCAGCTGTCAATCCCGCAGGGGACCCCAGAGCAAATGTGCCCTTGGGCCCCAGGAGCAGCTAAGATTTAGTCAGAGATATATTTAGTAAAAGTCATGGACAGGTCACGGCCATGAACTGTTGTTTATTGCCTGTGATCCGTCCATGACTTTTACTAAAAATACCCATGACTAAATCTTAGCCTTACTCATGAGAGATTCTTTTAAAGTCTAATTGGATTAATATGGCAATAATATTTTTTAAAGTAAAAATTCTCAGAGAAAGGTTAGCAAAATTGCTACTAAAGATTTATCTGCCTGTTGCTGAGGGAGCCTTTCTGATTACAAAATGCCTTTAATCTCTCTCTCTTAAAACAGGTTTCTATGCAGTTCAGAATCCACTTTAAATCCCAAGAACTCTCTTCCTACTAAATTTTGTAGGAAGAGGAAGAATGTATCATAAATCCCATTGCAAAAGAAAGATATCGATCTGTCTGTCTGTCTAACAGCATACTGACATATTGTGCAATAGCAAGAATTCTTTCTAAACTCTCTGCTGGCTGAATATTAACCAGATTTAGCATCAATATTCTTATGCTGCTTAGTAGTGAGGATGCTTGTATGTGTATCATGTAAAACCATATAATAAGTCCAAAGGGATGATAAGTTACTCAGTGATGATTAACAAAACTTTTCATCAGATCTCAACGATTGACATATTAAATAGATAACTGAGTACAGGTCAAGTTTAAATTCTGCCTGTTTAGATGCTTAATAAATGAATTGATAAATAAATGCAATAAACAAATTACACAAGCCATTGTTTATTTTCCTCTCTGCAAACTGTCTTGTTGAAACAGTCCAGCTGCCATAAAGTCTGCTTTCTGCTATGAGGAAAGCAATGGTTCATAGTTTGGAATTTAATATTCAACTGAAAGTCTCAGCAAATAGTCTTTTCCACATGGAGCTGAAATGACGCTCATGTTCTGGACCACGTGTTGTCTGGGTCACTTTAAATTTTTAAAATAAACCTTTTTCTATAAATGTAAGGTTTTGCCTCAATCAGGATAAGTGTTTTTTCAAACTGATCTCCTTGAGAATATCTATCTTTAGCACCATACTTAAAGGTGAACTGCATAGCCAAACAAAAGAGGTTTGTGTCCTGTATAAAGGTGGCAAAAAAAATATTAAGCTTTTACATTAGAAATTGAACTGCAGCTTTTCCAGCCCTGTCTGAAGGAGGAAGGAGTTGTTGAGATACTCCAGTGTTACTCTGTGAGGAGGTCATTTGCGAGATACCTGTGGCATAAAACAGCCCAGAGTCAGCATCTTCTCCCTCCTCAAATAAGAAATCTGAAGTTCAGGTTTTAGCCTCAAACTATGATCTAATTGTTCAGATCCTCCAAAGACTGACAGAGCTCTTCAGCACAGGATTTGATCCTGCCAGATGCTGAGCACTCCAGCCCATTCTAACAATGCACTTAACCGGCATGCTGAAATTTGAGCATATGAATAGTCCATTGACCTCAGTAACACTACTTATGTGCTTAAAGTGAAACATCTACTTTGTAAATCCAAGTGTTTTGCTGGACTGACCCAGCATACACCTTGCGAAACTGAGCCCATAAACAGGGAAACCAAGGCCTGATCTTGCTAATGTAAATGATAGGCACAGAGACAGACAAACAGACAAAGAAACAAATGAGGCTAACTTCATGCATAAGAAAGTAAGAGTGTAAGACACACAGTTCCTTATTCTTTGTTGTTCACTTTTAATGTAGGAATTCTATTTTCTTTCTAGCTCTTTATATAGAGGATCACAACAAGGGACAACATATTCAGAGATAAGGTCTGTTTTTTTTTTAAAAAAAATCATACATTAAACTGGTGTTACACAAAATGCTGAAAAATGCACACATGCACTGGGGGCCGGAGGAAGGAACCTGAGACACAATTCATCTAATATCAGTCTCAGTAACTGAAGGTGTTGATTTTAGCAAATATTTCAAACAGTGTGATTTTTAAACTGATGTCTATTAAAAGAAACATTTTTTGAGAATGTAAAGCACAAAATCTGAAATCAGTTATAGATGTGCATGCTGACAAATGCCTATATCCTGCAAATTGCAGGACTGCGGTCTTATACATTACCAATACATTTACATCAGAAAATAAAATAGTTAAAAATTATTCCATTCCCCCTTCTCTTGCTTTCCCAAATCGTGAATTTATGCTCCCATATTATAAACATCTTTAAGCAAGAGCAGAATTGGGCCCTTAACTTTTCATGGTGCTATCAACAGTTGCAAGAAAATGTAAGATATTTATTTCAAGATTTGGTAAGTATGTGAAGGGCTAAAGGCCCAGTACTGCAAACTGGTGGATGTTTCTATGGGGCAAATAGTGCTCCTTTGGATCAAAATTGTATCCTCAATGAACTTCTACTCCTTTTTACTCACATGAGCCATCCCACTGAAGTTAGAGAATAAGGATCATTGCTTGTTAAGTTCTGACAAATGCTCCATACTGTAAAAGACTCACATAAAGATAGTCCCTGTTCCAAGAAGCTCATGTAAGTGTTACAGGCTCAGATTCACTCTTTCAAAACAGTTTGTGGGTTTTAAGCTTTCTACATACATGGGATCTTGGCTGTTTTTAAAAGGCTTTGCAGTTCACTTTTAACACGTAGGTAATTTTCATCCACAGAATGAATATTCATCCATGATGCTAAATCCTATATTTCTTAAGCACTGAAACTCCAGCAGGCAAGGAATGCTGGAAAAGGCCATATTTCTCAAACCTTCTTTCTTTTCCTCTTGTTTCTGGGTTGTCTGGTTTTGATGCTTGTTTGTTTTTCCGTGCTGCCCTATTTGTTTCTCACTTTCATCTCAATTGATTTTTCTTAAGCTCTTTAAGGCCAACATCTTTGACAGGGGGGGAAATCTCATGAAAAATAAATCTGCTAGATTTTTGTTTGTCTGAAAGAACACTCTACACAAACTCCAGATCAAGTTTTAAACGAGACAGAGAATATGCAGATGCCTTCAGAAAACAATGAAAGGCATGAAGGAAAGTCCTTTCTGCCCCTAGAAGGAGCGATCCCATAGTCACAGAACATATGCAATTGCTTATTCTATGGCATGTAAACACTGGCTGTCAGTACCATAACTGCAATATCATGGAAGCACAGTATAAAGGCCCTACTATATAACAACTGAACAGTATTTGTGGACCTGGCTACAAAACACTTGTCCCCTCACCCAGTAACAACAGAATAGTGTGAACGGTACCTTAACCATGTTCCCAAACTGTATTCGTAGGAACACAGGAATTGCCTTGCTGGACTCAAACAGTGGTTTTAGCTATGGCAATATTGGATGAAATCCTGACCCTATGGAAGTCGACGGCAAAACTTCCATTGACTTGAATGGGACAGGATTTCACTCACTGAGTTAGAAGAGTATTTGTTTCAGAGTAGCAGCCATGTTAGTCTGTATCCGCAAAAAGAACAGGAGTACTTGTGGCACCTTAGAGACTAACAAATTTATTAGAGCATAAGCTTTCGTGGAACTTCATTGGTTTTAAACTGCACCTCTCCATACACACACAAAATCCATAGCACTGAAGCAGGCAACAAGACTTATGAAAGAAAAACCTCAATGTGCAAGAGTAAACTGTTTATAATTTAACACGGTCGGATTTTCTAAATCATTATGTAACTATTCTCCAGAGGGTTATCCAATGGGATGTGCAGCTCTAGAGTTCATCCATTTTTTAAGATATCCATAAGCAACAACAAAATTCTTATCCCCAATACAATTGAAGTGAAACTATGAAAGGAAAAAATATGAAAAATCAGTCTTTAAAAATCAATATAATTAAATCCAAAAATAGTAAAATGTCAATCATAAGATTATGATTATTGCATGGCATAACTACAGGACAGAGTTAAGGATATGTGGGTGTTGTCACAGGGTAGCTAGCATCTTAAATGAAATGGGGCCCAGCTCTCCTGTTCCAGTCTGGGTGCTCCCTAATTTGGTATAATGAGGATGGTGGAGCTGCCCCCAGAGTTATAAATGAGAAACAGCAAGGGAGGACACAGAATCCAGAGAGAGAAGCTGAGGTGGATTGAGAGCTTTGGGGGGTGGCGGGGGGAAGAGAATCACAGCCGGGGCAAGGGAGGTAACGCTTCTGACAGAGAGAACAGTGAGAGTTCCCTAGTAACCACTGGAGCCAGATCGGACTGCTGACACCAAAATGCAGCTGCAGGTGCATGGATCACCTACAAACTTCCCCAGGCCAGAAAGCCATGGCAGGAGAGGATCCAAAGGCTGAGGGCAGCAGAGGGAGATGGCTGCTGGCTATCTGAGCTCAAGGACTGAAGTCTGGGGAACAATGAAAGGGTGAGCCCACTGATGTATC